AATATCCTTTTCTATTTACAAGCACAGGTACCTTACTGTTCCTCCACTAGTATCATAAAAATGTGACTCCATTATAGTCAACACTCACATACAAGCAATCAAAATAGTAACTCTCATTCTTATTTTATTTTCATATCATTCAATAACGTGAATCATGCATTTAAATGACAAGCAAATATTAGTGTTGTTCCTCCATTAGTATCATAAAAATGTGACTCCATTATTGTCAACACGCACATACAAGCAATCAAAATAGTAACTCTCATTCATATTTTATTTTCATACCATTCAATAACATGAATCATGCATTTAAATGACAAGCAAATATTAGTGACATGCGCTCAATATGATTAATTGAACCTAATGAGACAATAAACTCTATCAAAGCAAGTCATAGAGTTAAATAAATTTGAAAGAAATCAAATATTACTATAATTTAAAAGCGTAAGTACTCACCTAACCCCTTTTTATGATTCTTGTAGTCCCTTAGTCCATGATATCCTCTATTTAGTGTCTAAAAAGGCAAAATATAATATTTTATCTCTTTATGATTTTTCTTACTCAAAAGTCTAAAGTATTTTTCAATTACAAGTTCTTTTAGTTATTAATATATCTTCTAAATTAAAGGACATATAAGTATAAGTTACCTCAATTAATTTTCTTTGTTGGCTCATTCTTTCATCACCTCTCTTGATTATATTATCATACTTCGGATTTAATTAAAAGTACTAATATATCAATAGTTAAGCATATATTAAATTGATAAGTAATAAGCTAGAACCTTAACTTTTCTTTGCTCTCGTCACCCTTTACTCTATTCAAATGTGAAGCTTTGATTGCTTGTATTCTAATTTTTTGTGTGTGTGTGTGTGTGTGTGTGGGATAGATTTCCTCGACCACGACGCTTCAATCGTTGTTTTTGAAAGTGTCGTTCGGGCCTGCATTTAAGGATGTGCTCACAATTGGAATTAGTGTCATCCTCGCCTCGCTTCTCTCTTGCTCCTTTTCTTCCTTCTCCTTCCCTTAAGTTTCTTACGTCCTTTCAATCTCCTTTCTCTCACTCTCTCGGTCTATTACGAACGAAGAAATCAATTCGTCTCTTAAAAACGAACTGGGTTGTCGTGATGAACAAACCAATGCCTCCAATTCAATTTTTTTTTATTCATTTTATTTTTTTTCTTTTGTTTTGGTTATTAAACCTCCCAATTGCAGCTATCAGATATTTCCTCAACCCTCTATTTTAACATGTTGAGGGTAAATCTATCAATGCTGAGATTAAGTTGGGGCTATACCATTATATGGATAGATTGACTGCTATCCCAAATGACAGGGCAAATGCTAATATGCAATTAGTTGGTTTTAGGAATGAAGACAGTTTTTTTTGAGCTAAGCAAGCTAAAGATATCATTGCAAATATTCTCAAGGTAATTATTGATGTTTGTTTTGTTCATTGAAATGAGAATGAGCATTTAAATTCTAACCATCAAAGTTCTATTTAAATTATTTTCTTTAAAACATAGTTGAATGTTGGATCCATATTTGTGATGTTACTCTAGAGCTACAACATTTTATTGCTGAAGTATTAAGTCTTACATGTTTGTCATCTAGATTTAAGTACAAGTAGAGCTCATATAATTAAGTTCACCAAAAAACAAAAAACCATTTCATGACCTTAATGACAAATTCTTTAGTATACATCTTAAGAGATTTAATGGTAGAAACTTAAAGAATGATGAGGATCTCTATTATGTGAAAATTTTTCATCAAATCATATGTGGTTTATAAATGATGATAATGACATCACTCCATCTGAGTTGAAATAAGGTCAAAATGTTAATTTTTTGATACAAACAAAGTCATGGAAAGCATATCAGCAGAAAATAACAAGTGAGAAAAAATGTATCAATAAAAATTTAAGTGAAAATATCCAGAATATTGACAATTTAAATATCTCAGCTCGATTGTGAAATGGTTGAATGATTTTTCATGAAGTGGCATTCGTAGTTTGTTGTTTTTGTCTAGTAGTCTTTTTTTCGTATTTTTGGCACTTTGAATGTTTTGGTATCGTATAAAATAGTTGATGAATGCACACTTTTTTAGGTAATTTGTTAGTTTTTTTGTGTTCAATGTGTTGGACAATAACAACATCTTTTTTAGGTAATTTTAATATTTTGGATTCGTGTGCTATTCGTTTCGTGAAATAAGTGGATGACATTTTTTGGGTTAACTTTTTATTCTTTTCTCACGCAACTTGCCATATAATGTGGATTTTTTCCGCAAGTAATCTCTACATTTCGCAAAATGAATAATGGTCAGTCACTTTTTCGGTTTATATATATATATATATATATGTTAGAATTTAGCATCCAAAGGGAAAGTAGCATTGTATTTTAATTTG